GGGTTGAGGGGGTTTAGGGGTGAATACAGGGGTTTAGGGCTTAGGGGTTTGAAACGCGTCAAGCCAACGACACTTAACCCATGATTTTGGAGATGGGGATCTGCCAGAAACCCGAAACCACAGGCCCTAACCCAATAACATGCACCCCTTTGCTGTTATTTTGCCAAGCTCGTAGGTCGAAGAAGGGACCTGGGTAGCCAAGGGCGAACCTGGCTTTTTGCACTGGTTCGGGCAAGAGTCGTTCGCGGCTTATATATCTCCTCAAAGGTTCTGTATGCAGCATGGAGAAGCCGCCATTATTCTTATTATTGTAATTACTACTATAACTATGCTTAATATGAACTATTATTAATTAGTAGTAGCAGTATTTCTTGTTAAGATGAGTGCCGGGAAGCTCCGATACCACAGAAGACCTGGCGCCTGGACGCCCAAAACAAATGCCACGCGACAGATGCCTCTAAACCCTAAACCCTAAACCGTGATGTTTCAATTCTCCAGTCCTGGTAGAGCTCCTGGTGCCTGCTCTCCTAATAAGAGGTATTACTAATCGTTCTCATGATCAATCAATGCTGGTAATGCAGGTAATATAAACGTATATTAGGACTAACAGAGCTAAGAAGAATAGTGAACTTGCGACTCTTCTAGGCTTCTAGGACGGAAACCATGGTCTGCCGGAGCCCTCCATGGCAAGGGAAGCCGGGAGAGCGTTTCCCCCCTGAATGCACCGCCTTTAGCGGTTTAGAGCTTAGCGTTTTAGGGTTTAGGGTTTATGGTTTAGGGTGTTGGGTTTAGGGTTCAGGGTTTAGGGTTGATGGTTTTGGGTTTAGGGCCTACGTCTCTTGTCGTCTTGCATTGGTATCCCTCCCGACAGCTGCACCCTCCGGCGGGGATAGTCCATGGTCCATCTTGAGTCCGTATGCCCAGCCCCAGCCCCCAACCGTAGTTAGTCAGCAAGTTCCTTTTGTACGTGCGAGTTGAATACGACGTGAAGAGTGCCCACATAAGCTGTTGCTGGCCTTCTGACCTCTTAGAAAAGCCACGCCACCTGTTGTTGGATGTGCTTTCATCGGTAGCCTGATCTCATGCAGGCGGCGTGATATCTATATATATATATATCTATGTATGTATGTATGTATGTATGTATGTATGTATGTATATATATATATATGTGTATGTATATATATATATATTATAGCAGTCGAACATGATATTGTGCTGAACTTTTCAACGTGCGAGGAAGAGCCCCTGGCGCTGAGGCGGCATTTCAGATGCGGGAGGCCGTGGCTTCCAAACCCTAAATCCTAAAACACGAAACCCTCAACCCTAAAGCCCCAAACCCTAAACCCTAAAGCCCTAAGGCCTAAACCCCTAAAGCTCCAGGGCCCCTAAAAAAGCCCCAGAGCTCCAAAATCCAACAGCTCCCTTTGTCTCTCAAGCGCTCCCTTTGTCGAAGGCCAAGCGGAAGAGAGAGGCCTCTCAGTTCTTCACCTACCAAGCCCGATTGCTGAGGCTGGGAGCTTTCTGCACTTTGCTGCACCTCTCCTTGCTCACTTCGGGATCTCATCGTCGTCGTCGTCGTCGTCGTCGGCGTAGTAGTAGTAGTAGTAGTAGTAGGAGGCGTAGTAGCAGTAGTAGCAGTAGTAGCTGTAGTAGCAGTAGTAGCAGTAGTAGCAGTAGCAGTAGCAGTAGCAGTAGGAGTAGGAGTCGTAGTAGTAGTAGTAGTAGTAGTAATAATAATAATACTATTAATAATAGTACTACTACTACTACTACTAATAATAATAATGATAATAATAATATGAAGAATAATAGTAATTCTAACAGTAACGATAATAATACTAGTAACAATAATCGTAATAACCAACCAATGACACTAGTCATAATCAAAATAGAAAATGATGGTAATCATGACAATAATAGGAAGAGTAGCAGTCATAGTAAGATCTCGCCCAAGCTAAGGACCGGTGTGCCTCCGCGAGACGACCTGCTCCTCTGCTCAAGCTTCGGGAACTGTGCTTGCGGCGCCGGGTTTAGGGTTTAGGGTTTTGGGGTCTAGGGGTTAGTGGTTTAGGGGTTTAGGGTCTAGGTTAGAGGGGAATGTTGGGTTTAGGGCTTAAGGTAATGTCAGGTTTAGGGTTTAGGGTAATGTCGGCTATGCACATGAAGTGAACGCGAAGTCGGACGAGCACATGCAGATGTTAGATGGTTTTGAAACTTAATGAGAGCACTCGGTATGACGACAACTGCTGAGCTTCACGGTCACGAGGGTTCGCCAAGGACTGCGCCTCTGTTAGGCCAGAAAAATGCCGGCGCTTTGACTGTAGACCCTTAATCACTGGAATTCTTACGTATCAAAACGATCCCCGGCCCGAATACGGAAGCAAAGGCTAGCTTGAAGAAACCACTAAAACCCTAAACCCTAACAACCCTTAAGCCCTAAACCCTGAAATCCTAAGACCCTAAACCCTGAACCCTAAAACCCTAAAGCCCTAAAGCCCCAAGCCCTAAACCCAGGGCCGGGCTGGCTTCGCAGGTACTGGCGCCGGGAGGAGAGAATGCTCTTCTCCACAGCCAAGATGGAGAAAGGGCCACGCCCCAAGTTTAGGGTTTAGGGTTTTAGGAACAGTGTAGGGTTTCAGGGTTTTGCGGATTTGGGGTTTTAGGGTTTAGGGCTTAGGGTTGAGGGAGCCAAAGCATGAAACTAACTAGTTCGTGGGATGGTTCTTCTCATGAAAGTATCGGACGGCTGCTCGTGTGGAAAGCAAAGGATTTGCTCGTTCGTCGAAGTGAATCTGTGCTTCTGACAGACGGCTGTTACAGTCAGACTTCCACCGTTATCGCAGGGTGTGACTTCATTGTTAGAGACTTGATTTGTCAGTTCTGGGCTTCATTGACTGCTGCTACGGCAGCATGTGATGGTTTTGCTACTTCTCGCTCTGCACCGGCTGCTACTAGAATGACCTTGACTATGACAAACAGAATCACAAGCCTGAGGACGGCGACTGCTACTGCTCCCACTACACTACAAGTATTGCTGGTACCAGAACTACGCATCAAACCATAGCCACCACGGCGGCAGCAATGGTTCAACTCCCCGATGGGACAAGTGAGCCGGAGTGCTGTTCTACACGTCCTTTTCTACACGCATGTCCAGCTTTTGCGCTCAAACACGTCTGGGCGGCCGGGACCTATGCCAAGGCTGCCAGGGGATGGCCCACTCATATGGCTTTGTCTCGGCCTCCATAAACCCAAATCCTTGACTTTAACTGCAGGAGGAGAAAGGGCCATCAAAGAGCAAGCCCTAAACCCAACGCTCCAAAACGATACCCTCAACCCTAAACCCTGTACACCCTAAACCCTAAACCGAATCTGAGGATCAATTTCGCAGCCTACGATGAGGTCGAGGTCGAGCGGCGGGGCGGCTTGGGTCAGGAGGCTGGGAGCATCAAACCTTGAAGCACTCAGCTCGAAGCAAAAACGATGGAAATATCAAGAATATCAACAATGTAACAATCGCATTATTGCAGACCTCACAATAATTGGAAGAAGAATAGGAATGCTAATTTTCAAAGTGTTATTCATATTCATACGAATATCAAAATACTGATGCTAATATTATACAAAAACAGGTACACCATTGATACTATAATAAGACTGGCCCGAATACGATTGCGAATACAAATAGCATTAGCAATTACTAATACTAATACTCATACTAATATTCATAACAAAACTAAGATTGATACTAATGCTAATACTAATACCAATACTGATTCTAATGCTAGTTCTAAGATTAAGACTAATACGAATATTCATACTAATATGATTACTAATGCTGATACCAATAGCAATACCAAGCTAAGACTAAGACTAGGACTAAGACTAAAACTAAGACTAAGACTAAGGCGAATACTACTATTAATATTCACTTGAGTATCAGTATGAACTATTACTCATACTTATACCGTATACCAATGCGAATACTGATATTCTATAAGCAGACTAATACACATGCGAATACAACAGCAATACCAACATTAATGCAAATACCTTCAAACATCCCGACACTCGGAAGTATATCCAAGACGCACCTCTGGTAAACTGGCGTCGGGTTCAACCGCTCTATGCTGAGCAGCTCACAGTCTAGTCTAGTCTTTCATGCCCCAAGGCCCTACTCTACTTATTCGGCCCCCCCCCCCCTATTAGGGCTTGGGGTTCCATTTTCGGCGGCTTTCGCTCCACCAGGCGGGTTCAGTTACTAGGGTTACCCGGATGGACACAAGATGCCCCAGATCCGAAACTGAACTCTAAGCCCAAAGCCCCTAACCCTGAAGATTCAGCCCCAGACCCCAAACCGTACGATCTTGGGCGATCCGACGCAGCCGTTTCGGCCCAAGATGCTGGCGGAGATGTTTAGGGTTTGGCCTCTAGGGTTTCAGGTTTAAGGTTTGGGGTTTCGGGTTCAGGGTGCACAAAGTATTCATGACAGGCAAGATCATGCCGCCTATCATGTGACGCAGCGGCAATGCTATGGTTGGCATGCGTACTGCTGTGGGCGGGGCAGGCCTAGTCGCTGCTTGTAGTTGTAGGCCGCCACTGCTCATCACACGAGACCATCCGTTTAGTTGAGATTGGGGGGTTGGTATCCAACCGAGCACAGACCGAAGAAGGTGTTTCATTCGCTGGTGCCCGATGTAGCGAAACTCAGTCGCATGTACTGCAAGTCATTGCAACCAGCAGCCTTGCATGTTGTCGTATGTCGCAGTATACGTAAGAACTGGAAGGGCTCCAGCTGGGAGATGCCGTTTCAGCCTCAGCTGTGCAATCAAGGCCAACCCCCGAAGCCTCGGACCGTAAGCATGCAGTATCATGCAGTTCTTCAAAAAAATACGAAACAGTACAGCATACTGCAAGATAATATACGATACTGTATGACAATAGCAAAATAACAGAGTAAGACGCAATATTTTTGTTTATTCCAAACCTTCGACAGGCAGCCGATGTCGAGAGTACGTGTTGGGCAGCCAGCGACACTACGCCGCAATGTGCCTTTCAAGGGATGAAGGGCGCTTTGCAGCATCGGCCTCCGCCCAAAGCAGGGACTGCTTGAAGAGATAATTATTAGTCATTCAGCCAACTGCCGGAATCGGCTGCAACACTTACAGAAAATACTTTTTTTTTGACACGGCCTTTTGACTGTCTTGTCTGCAAGCGTGCTGCAGCCGTACATTGTAGGGTTTAGGAGTTGCGGTTGCTGTCTGTTCAACACGAAACCTGTTCACCACGAAACCCAGTTTTGGCCTTTGACATTGGCTGCATGTGCCGCCTGCATCAGGTTTTCGCCTCTTGCTGCAAAGTCTGCCAAGACAGACTCGATCTTCCAAACCGTCTGAAGCCCGAGGCTGACGCAAGATGTTGTCCAGAAGTCGACGTCAATGATTGGGACGAATACGTCACGTTCACCAACTTTTCGCCACTTGGCGCATGTACGCACGGCAATTGCGTTGCATCTTTGCTGGATCCTCTCTGCGTCTGTGTGCCTTTTTCTGGGAGGCTTGCTTCTGACGACTTGGAATTTTCCGTCTCCATTCAGATCCCGGGTGTGCTGGACTTCGCCTTAGTTCTCGTTGATGAACTTGACATGGCAATGTGGCGTGTGAGCACATGCGATCATGTAGGACCGTCTAGGCGGCAGTTCAGAAGTCCTCATTAATGCGCACTGTGAATCCAGCAGTTGCTTTCGAGATCTCTTGTCGCAGTCAGTCTTGTCTTAGACAACTAACCCGGAGGACGTAGCATCAATGGGCTGGGGCCTTGACATCGATGATTCTGGGACCTGGATCAATGTGGAGCTTTCAGTTGGAGATTGGCTTCAATACGTCGAGATGCAATTTTCTGGCAATTACATGATGCGAAGCATGACTGCCACTTGACAGAGGTTTAACGCAGGGAGGAATTCAGTTCAGTTTTCGGTAGCCGCAGCAGTCGAGGCGGCACAACTCAGGGCAGTTCAAGACGGAGTCCATTTGAAGGCTGTCCTTTACACGACAGCAAGCTATAGCCCACGGCCGTGTTACTTCTGAAACGCAGGTGCTCGGGAAATTAAAGCCGCGAAAAACTCGTCTGCACCTGCTGCAGACTTTTCCATGCTGCTCCACGCACGAAAAATAGGCAAGGGTGCACATGGGCGAGGAAGTGATCCCGCGAACTGGGCCTGTTTGATTACCATGTACCATCATGTACCACACTCGCATCTTGATCGCTGCCGCCTTGCGATGGGCCCTTACTCTTACTTTGAATCAAAGGCAGGGGGGCTGTGCAGTACGCTGGCGCGCCATGAATGAAAGAGAGACATACACGCTTATTGCAGGAGGAGATGCAGCAGAAGATTGGCGGGTTTCGCTAGTCCCCTAGTTTCTGTTGAACCGCTAGGCGACGACAGCTTGCAAGGGCCACCATTGCTTTCAGGCAGCGTGCGCAGCCTGTATGGTGCAGATTATTGATCAACGAAGACATTTCCTGCAGATGCACGGGTATGACCGCGCTAACCTCCAGAACAACTGGGCAGCCTGCACCGCGCACTGCCTCCTGCGTTGTTGTCCGGTGACATGAGAAAATGCACGCACACACACCCCAAAAAACGAAATATTCTTCCACCCTCATTCCACCTCCCTATCGAGCTATACTCCGAAACAGTCTTCCCTCAGAGTGCTCATGGGTTGCATCAGGAACGTACATACACAAAACATGCCGAAGTGATTTACGGTGCGGAGTTTCGCCTCTTCCGATTGTGTGTAAGAAGGCTTTTGGAAGGGGATCTAGCCTTCAGGTGGGGAGGCTGCTAAATGCCACTACACAAGACTCCATCCGGCGAAGTCATTGTTAGATACAGGACTCTGTATGTTTGTGTATTTCAGCAGACAATGCGATCCGAGATGGAGACAGATGCAACGCACCTGGACTTTGGAAGCGCGCAGAGTCTGACGATTGTTCGCAGTGTCGATTCTGATGGTGCGACGCACCGTGTGAAGTGGTACGGAGCCTTGGCAGTGCCAGTATGTTTTGGATCTTCAGACCATTCATGAAGAAGCCAATTTTCGGTTTCAGGATTCTAGAAAAGCTTCTACAATTCCTAAGTGGAAGGTTGCTATGGCGGTACTTCGAAACAACATATCACATACAAGGTGAGTCAGCAAGTCATGGTGGCGGCCATGGTGATAAGCTCAGACTCCTTGCAGAGGCGACCTATCCACCTGGTTCCGGCTCGGCTCCCGGTCCTCCTCCGGGCCCCAGCCCCTTGCCTTTTGCTTCGTCGCTGGTTGAGAGTGGAAAACCTTCACCAAAGCTGGGTTCTGGAGAGAGTGCACGCGCCGGACCTGGAGCACGGAACGCTCAGCAGTCCTCTAGCGCGACCTTCTCGCGCACAGCCCCTGGGGCTTAACGTGGGGCTCGCACTTCCAGATGCAAGCTGCCAGCGTTGTAAAGAGTGTAAACACGCACACTCACAAGTACAGTTGGCACAGGCGGCAACGACATCATGTAACTAGCCATTACTTCAGAGGTTCATGCGAACAGTAACGAATACGATTCCGGATCGTGAGGACGGTATGGGTGATGCTGCGGGAAGTCGCCACAAAGTTACCATGGTCGTTAGACAACTTGTGAGGATGTTGAAGAATCAGAAGATGATGATGACGACGATTTTTTTGCTTGATATTGATGATGGTGATGCTATTCATGATGCTGACGACGATTGTCGATCAAGGCGGTGGTGGCGATGGTGGCAGTGATGCTGGTGGTGATGATGAGGGCGAGATTTTTGGAGATGATGGCGATGACTGTGATGCTTATGATGATGATGGTGATGATGATGATGGTGATGATAACAATGATGATGATGACGATGTGACGATGGTGATTATTTTCATAAATTCATAAAGATGATGACGGCGACGACCTGGACCTTCTGCACCGCCATCATCAGTAACAAACAGAGTCATGATCACCAGCATCGACATCACCACTGTTATCACCATCGCAAACCTGCAGGCGAAGTGGAGCTCTTACCAGCATCAGTATCAACAAGACCCCTTGTGAGGCTAAAGTAGGAGAAGCACCGCCGCACCGCATCCGAGAACCTTTGAGGATGCTGCGCGAAGTCCTTTTCAGGTGGTATCACAAAGGTACTGTGTCTTCATGGTCATCATCCCCGTAGTCGTCATCATCATCATCATCATGTCTACTGAACTGTTGTTCATGGCTACAATGAACCCGACGAGGGTGGGACATCGGGCTCGGTGGGACCGGCTTGCCTCTGGAATCGGGCTTTGCAAAAGAGCGAGCTCGAGGAGCCGCGTGCGTTCTCAGCAACCATGTCTGTGTCATCTTGTGTTGTATTGTAATGTCGTGTGCTATACTGTATGGTAGTGGTACTATCTTGGCCGTATATTCTACGAGGCAAAAGGATCCTTCTTGATCCGGAGGGCAGGTGAACGTCGCGAACTCAAAGCAGAATCTGAGAGAGGAAACCCTGTGGCTTTGAAGTGAGACGCTACATTTGGAAGGCAGAGAGGCTGCAACGAGCTCGCTTCCATGCAGACCTATGCAGACCTCATGAAAGGGTACTGCTTCGAATCTCAGTCGGAGAGAAGTGGTCTTGCCTCAGTGAATCACGCTCTTGAATATCGCGCCCAGTAGATCGAAACTCACAACGACGGCGATGTTGCTTTCGGCTGGGCAGTGTACGGTGAGCATGACCGATGTGAGAAGGCACTTGCAAATAGATCCTATACGTTTTCCAGCGCTTCATATAAATTTCCGTATACTGTCTGAGACTTGGAATCTGCAGGTGGATGGTCGGTCTATGATTACGCATTCCACCCTCATGTTGCGGTTTTGTGGTCAAATCACTCTGCGTCTTGCTTCAAATGTCGCCTTTCCAGAAAATGCGCAGATCGAACTCTTGTGCGAGTCGAGATACAATGTAGCGGTAGAAGCAGTAATCGACACGAGAACTTGAAGTCTGACAATGGCACGCAAAGTCTGCGTCCACAATGACGAGCTGAAAGAGGAACACCTGTCCTTGCATTCATACTATCCTCGAAGCCATGTGGTCTGTGGCATGTCTGAACGGGTCTACCGCACAGGGGAGCTAGCAATTGTGAGCTATCGAGTCTTCACTGAATGAGTTTCACGGCCGCTATGTTGCATTCGACAGATTGCCACCAGCAAGGTTGTCCTAAAAGCCTTCCCTTGCACAGGACAAACTCGCCAAAGACTGGTGCGAGGAGCTCTCAGACCGTGATGATGCGCAGCCCTGTGATACTGCGGCAGCGAGCACCACGGCGACGAAGACAAGCACTTTGACGACAAGCACTTCG